ACTTTCATAGAAAGCAGTCTTTATTTACCTAGTGAAACAAGTGCCATCTAAAATGTGCTCTATATTATGGAAATACTCTTTTTCAACTAAAATGATATTACAGATTTTGAATCTACTTTGTACCAAAGAGAAATGTTTGGCAGGGTCTATGATAAAGAGATTCCAAAATAACTGGTTTTATGTACATTAATTTGTTTCTTAACTCATAAGTCAGCCCAACTGACTTATTCTGAACACAGTTACAATGAAAGGCATCTCATAGTAGTATGCAATCACTGAAATATGTAGGCTAAATATATTACTCATTGACAAATATTTCAAACACTGCCTTTTTGCTCTCATTCTCAAACATGAGTTGTGTGTCACTTAAATTCTGAGTCTATTCACATTTTGTAGATCTTCCTCCACCACCAGACCCACCCCCTGGTCAGGGTTTAAGACAACAGATAGGCCCTGGCCAACGTGGAGGTTCGACAGAGAGAAAAGGAAGCTCTCTAGAACGACAGCATACATCCAGCATAGAGGAAACAAAGAGCTCTTTGGATCGTCAAGCTAGAACATCACTAGAATGGCAGCGGCAAACCCAGGAATGGATAAGCTCCACAGAACTTCAAGGCCAGCAAAAACAAGCATTTGGATCAGGTGTGTTGGCTGCACCTCTCAATGCAGCTTAGGCAGCTATATTGTCTTTTAAGATCCCCTAACAATGGTGAAGGTCATGCCTTACCTCAGAACAATCAAAGGACAGCTGTTAAAGTTTGACCTTCAGTGTTCGCTCCTGCAATGGTGAAGCTTTTGAATACTACTAAACTACTAAAATTCTAAATGCATGCCTTTGGGAGTTAATAATACTGCTAAGTGCAGCAGAGGGAAAATGGTCTTGACATTTTACTGCCAAGTGAAGAATACATACATATGGAACACACAATTGTTATGATTTTTTTTAATTTACTAGAACAGCATTTTTGCATGTATATGGACCAAATATCCTTGTTTTCCACCTATATTAACAGTGTTTTCTTATATGGATTGAGTTATCTTGCAATAAGCTCTGAGTCAAGCTGCTTTCATTTTGAATTTGTCTGTTTTTTAAAAAATAGAACTCATAATTGGTAAACACAGTGCAATCCTTTGCATGTATATTCAGATGTAAATCCCTCTGAGTTCAATGGGACTTACTCCCTAGAAAGTGTGCTTAGGAATGCAGCCTCAGAGCCTTATTTCTGTTTATTTCATAGATACCATATCCTGAATTAAACTGTAGATGCATTTTTGCCACTTTCTCAAATTCCATTTGCTGTATTGATTTTAAATATCAATCATTTAAATTTCAGATGCTTTACACAATAATATCCTGTAATCATAACTCTTTGCCAAATACATTATATTATGCACAGAAATAACAACACGTAGAATGTGGGCATGCGTACTGCTTTTTTTCACCTTGCAGTCTTTTTTTGTTTGTTTGCAGAAAAAGCTGATAATCAACCAGATAATAAACCATTAAGATTAGACTCTTGAAATAGCACTCTAAGCAAAGTAATTTGTCTGTTTGAAAATTACCACTGGGAAAATGTTATCATGTGTGACATATAAATTCTGTATATTCAGCAAAACTTCAGCAATATAGACAATATAGAGTAGTTATTATCCTTATTTATACTACAGGGTTACAGGCTTCCTAATAAGTACACTCACTAAAATATACAAAAATAGGTACTCATTCTCTGTATTGTAATTATTTTTCATTGGTGAAGTATTCCAGAATGCATGGTTTGAATCTTAACACCAACTGAAGGGAATGCAGATCTTTACCATCTTCATCTCTGCTTGTGCAGTCCCTCCTGATACCTGAAAAGTAGATTCCCAGGATCACAGGATCCACATGGAGAGACTGTAGTGGGGGAGGAGAAGAGTACAAAATTGCCCTTCCTGCATCTTCCATTAGTGGAGATTTGCTATCAGAAGAGCAAGAAGTTGATTTCACTCCCTTGACCCTCCAACCAATATGCCTGTAGCTGTTCCCATGATCCAGGATTGGCAGTGTGTGCCATGGGGATGGAAATATGACAAAATATGGACTTCTGCTGGTGGTAATTAGGAACCACCACCCCCTTTTGGAGTTTTCTGTTTTTCATCCTGTGCTCTGTAAATCCAATCATATGAAACCAACTTGAACTGTAAATGAAGACTTCTACATGAATTACTCAGCAGAAAATGCTGACTAAATACAGAGTAGACTGGTTGATCTTCAAGCCTCCTAAACACATGCCATGCAGAGATCAAAAGATATTTTAGTGCCTAAGGCAGAGAAGTCAAACAGTGTTCCAGATAGACCAACATTTTGAATCAGCATAATGGAATTTTGTTTGTTCAGATGTTGCAACTAGCGGTGTACACAAAAAATCAGTATTTTTAGGGATTTGGTATGGTATTGGGATTCAGGAAATAATTGAGAAACCTGAATTTATTTGGCTCTGTTATAGCCTATGAGGATCATTCTCTATAGGCTATAATCAATCCATGGGTTTTGGGGCTCTGGTGGCCGTTTTTTCAGGTATAGGCACCAAATTTGTAGCATAGCTGCTGGTGCCTTTCCTAAAAAAATCCCTCCACATTTTAAAAAGATTGAACCAGGGAGTCAAATTCTATGGGCCCCCAAAGAAGGTGCTTCCATTCTCCATTGTTTCCAATGGAGGAAAAAGGCATGTAAAGGGACACAGTCCCTTCAAATGCCTACGTTCACTCACCGAGTTGCACCACCACCGCAGCAGCAACATGACTCAACAAGTGAACTCAGGCATTTAAAGAGCCCCTTTAAATGCTTGAGTTCACTTGCTGAGTTGCACCACTGCAGCACAGGCCAGCTTGGAGAAGGCATTTAAAGAGGTCTCTTTAAATCCCTTCTCCAAACTGGTCCATGCAGTGGGAGTGCAACTCGGCTTCTCCAAGCTGTGCCTGAATAAAAGCCAAATAATATTGGCTTTTATTTGGGCTCAGCTAGATCGGTAGCTGAATCAGATGCTTTTATTTGATTCGGCTGAATAAATACTTGAAAAATACCGATAAGGTATTTTTCGGGTACTTATTCTGCTTGGTATATACAGAATACACACCCCTAGATCCAACCATCTCTTAGTACAATGGAACCATATAATTTTTACAGCCATCAATGCTTACAGTATGACCAAGAGATAATTAAGCATTTTAAGTGCAATTAATTTTAATGGGAGATTTAATGTCTCCAGTGGAATCAATCGGAGTTAAAAGTGCTGAAACTGGTTGACTGTACCTTTTGTTTTCCAAGAGACCATGTAGACCCTTGTTCACAGACAGTGAATGTGACCCTGTCAACATCAGATCTCAAGGACAAAACATATTTGTAAGATATTTTTCTATAAACAATATAGCCCCAATAATGTAATTTCCCATGTGCTTGATACCCTTGCAAATAACACCAGGAAGCTAATTAAATTAGCTGGTTCTAGAGTTCTTTATCTTAATTGATTGAAGTAATGTTACCATAATTTAAATGAAAGAAAAAAGAGAAGCATTTCTGCAAGCTTAAAGGAAATGATAATCTTAGGCTTATTGTTCTGAAAATTGTATATGTATTTATTTAATTAAGCAATCCATGATTCATTATTTTTCATAATGAATCTTGATTTTATCATTAATATACACCAGTTTATAAACTTAAGATGAAAACATGATTGCATTTAGATTTAAATGTGCAAACACACCATGGTTGCCTACTAAATCTACGTTTCTGTTTTTTAGTGGCTAGAATAAAATCTAAGCAAAATCAGTGTTTTCTGCATAAGGCAGGCATGGAGAAACCAGTACAGCACAGAAAGGCACAGCCGATGCCAATATGTTTATGTATTTACTGGCATAAGAAAGGGTGTTGGGGCATGGCTTCCATAGCTAGCTGAATCTTCTAGCCATCCAATTTCTCAGATCACCCCAGTATTACTAAGTAGCTCAAAGGACCCAAAATCCAGTGAACCAGTTGTTCGCTTAGCTGTGAATAAAACAACAGTACATAAAACATATTACATTTCAGGTTTCCAAACCTGAAATTCATTTAGGAAGGACCAGTTATTTTCCAAGCAATTAAAAATAGCTTGCCACCCTTCTTCCACAGCTGCTGTAATAATTTTCTTAACATCTCCATCAAAGCTTTTCTTCTATTGTTCTTTTGTGTGAAAGGAGAAGGAGCCACATTCATGCTGCACACGCCTTTGGTTAGGATGGGAAAATAACAGCACCTGCTCTCTTTCCCATCTTCTCCTCCTCTTTGTTCTTCCTCTGTTACGCACACATAACCTTGCTCTGTATGGGGAAAGCCTCTTTCCCCCTGTGTCAAAGATGCTATTTTTCTCTTCCAAGGAAAACACAGAGGTAATTGTATATTTTCCTCTACAGAGCAAGTAACCACTTGGGGTGGCAGTGATGGTTTGCTTTGGGAAGACAGCAAAGGAAAGGTTTCCTCACCTAAGCACTATAAACCTGCTCTGAAATGTGGTTTTCTACAATCCACCATTTAATAACTTTTTCCACCCATGGAACCACCATTTTGTGACTGATAGATCCCAAGACTCTTGGGAAAAAATTAAGTAGCTACCAAGAGCTCTTCATAGGATTGCACTATTGTACTGCTAATGAATCTACTTTTAGCTGTCTCATTAATATGTCTAAATTTTTTCTCTCATTTTGAGGGCGAGGGGAACAAAGGTTCTTCTCTCAGACTTTTATAGTAATCAGTGTTGCTGAGGACATATGTGTACCGAATTTCAGTTTCCCAACTAGTATGTACAGGTGTCAACATTTCCAGATTTTGCTAGTAGCTTCATCATTTTGGACTATGCACATAGCCAACTCCAGTTTTCTAGGTAGTATGGGATTAGCCTAATATTTTTTGATATTCAGTCAGTCCCAAGTATTTTTATGTATACATATATAAATTATTTTTCCATTTTTTCCATTTGTGTTCACAGAAGAGGCACTGGTGCCATATAGCAAGCCTAACTTCCCATCCCCAGGTGGTCACAGCTCTTCAGGTACAGCATCTTCTAAAGGATCAACTGGACCCAGGAAAGGCGAGGTCATGCGAGGCAGTCACCAACGCAATGCCAGTGACCTTCTTGATGTAGGATATATGGGATCAAACAGTCAAGGACAGTTTTCTGGTGAATTATGTAAGCCTCTTTGAGATGAAGTACAAAATTTCAAAAGAACATAATTCTTACCTTTCAATTCTGCCGGGGACTATATGGAGAGTACCACCCATCTTTAATATATACCATGGTTTTGTTAACTGAACTGAACTTGTGCTTAAAGGCTTCTTAGCTGTCATAGACCAACTACTTGCATAGAAGCTACTGCTCATCTCCCCCACAGCTGACTAGACAACCCCCCCCCCCATTTCCATAATCTCTGGGGAAGGATCAGTCTTCCTGTGGAGACAGTGAAAGAGGGAAGGAGATGGCTAAAAATGAGGAAAGAGTTGAAATAGGGGAGGGATATGTTGGAAAGGGGGAGGGACTGAAAGAGAAATAGGGACCAAGGAAGGAATGTTACATGGGTGGGCGTGAAGAAATCAATACAAAGCTGTATCTACCCACTACTCTCCATGAAATTCCAGAGATGCATGAGAACAAAATAGCACAATTTTGTGTGTGGATGCTTTAGTGTTGGAAAGAAACAGTTCTGTGGAGTTAAACAGGTTTTAATTACTGCGGCTTTATATAGCCTTTCAGGCACGCTCAAAAGCCAAAAGCAGCCAACAGCCTTAAGTAGCCATAAATAGTACAAGCCAAATAGGAAGATTTTCCAGCAAAATTTGGAACCATGGTCTCCGTGCAGCATACCAATGAGAATCTGAGCCTGCTCAGAGTATCATTCAGAAACTTCCAAGCCTAAGCTAAGAAAATATTTTCAGCTTTATTTGCCCTTGCTGAGGAGAGGGACTCCATTCTGCATGCCTCAAGTGGGTGAGTCATGCCCTCATTCTTCAATCATCACACTGGAGACTTAATGAAAAATTTATTCACAGGAGAATTTTTTGTGAGCTGTTCCTCCCCACCCCACACAAAAATGTCCCCTCTTCTGGTATTCCCCCATTACTCTACTACCTCCTTGGGTATCTTGTGTGTGTGGTGCAGTAGATAACTTTGCCAGGTTGGTATAGTGGTTAAGAGCGGTGGATTCTAATCTGGAGAACCAGGTTTGATTCCCCACTTCTCCACATGGAGCCAGCTGGGTGACGTTGGGTCAGTCAAAGTTCTTTCAGAGCTGTTCTCCCAAGAACAGTTCTCTCAGAGCTCTCTCAGGCCCACCTACCTCAAAGGTGTCTGCTGTGGGGAGAAGAAGGGAAGGAGATTGCAAGCTGCTCTGAGATTCCAAGTAAAGGGCAGAGTATAAATCCAAATCTCCCTCTTTCTCTACTTCTTCTGCTTCTCCTTCTCCTCTGTCCAGTGGGGCGGGGTAAAGAGTTGTCAAGTACAGATGAACATGACAATTGCCTTTTTCTGTTTGAGTGAGGAACATAAAGTGGAGTTCTGCCCACACTGTATAGGATTTATAAAACAATCCCACTGAAATCACTCGTTGTGCCCGACAGCAACTCTTTAGAAGCAGACTCTGTCAAATGAACCAGTGGTCCTTCCCAACACCTCCTCAGCTGCCTTATACTTTTGTCAGTACCAGTGGGTCCCTCCCCAATCAACTTTGTTGAACCCAGCTTAGAGAACAGAGTTCTTGAGGGTGAGCAGTACAGAGCATGTTCATCAATCTAACCACAGCTCCAAATTAGATATGCCTATAGATGCTTCCTCCTTTGATCCAAAGAAGCAAAAGAAGAAGAGTCAGAAGACACTATTGGCACAGTCCTCAGATAGATTGCCCACACCTGTACCAATAGGCTTTGATTCAGGTGGGAGTAGAGAGTGTGCATGCACACCCTTGAGAACACCACAATACTAATCCTGTTGCCGGACAGCCTGGAAATTACAAGTCTGCCTGCAAATTCCAAGAAAGACATTACTTTCAGAAGATTCAGCTCATTGACTCCATGTCAGGAGAAGGACACTTTTAAAGACATTTGTACCTTTCTGGTACAACACCACAGATTTGGGGATGTGCCTGAGGACCACTGATCTAGGTATCATAGAATCATAGAATGTTAGAGTTCGAAGGGACCTTGTAGGTCATCTAGTCCAACCCCCTGCACTCTGCAGGTGCATAACTGAAAGATAGTCCTGCAACATACCTGAAAGATGGTCGTCCAGCCTCCACTTGAAAATGTCCAGTGAAGGAGCATCCACCATCTCCCGAGGCAGTCTGTTCCACTGCTCAACCACTCTTACAGTTAGGAAGTTTCTCCTGATATTTAGCCGGTAACAACTCCCTTGTAATTTCCATCCATTAGATTTAGTCTTGCAATCTGGAGCAAGAGAGAATAGATCTGCTCCATCTTCTACATGACAGCCCTTCAAATACTTGAAGACTGCAATCATGTCCCCTCTAAGCCTTCTCTTTTCCAGGCTAAACATATCCAACTCTTTCAGCCTTTCCTCATAAGATTTGGATTCCAACCCTCTCACCATCCTGGTTGCCCTCTTCTGAACACTCAGGCTTGTCAACATCCTTCCTAAAAAGTGGTGCCCAGAACTGGACTCAGTACTCTAGGTGAGGCCTGACCATACCAGAATAGAGCAGAACTACCACCTCCCATGATCTGAACACAATGCTTATGTTAATGCATCCTAAGATTGCATTAGCTTTCTTCACAGCCACATCGCACTGCAGGCTCATGTTTAGCTTGTGATCAACCAAAACACCCAGATCCCTTTCACATGTGCTGCTGTCAAGCCAAGTCCCTTCCATTCTATATCTGTGCCTTTACTTTTTTGTACCTAAGTATAGGACTTTGCACTAGTCTCTGTTGAAATTCATTTTATTTGTCTCAGCCCACTGTTCCAGCCTATCTAGATCATTTTGAATCCTGACTCTGTCTGCTTCAGAATTAGCAATCCCACCTTCGTGTCATCTGCAAATTTGACAAGCATCCCCTCTATGTCTTCCTCCAGGTCATTTATAAAAACATTGAACACCGGGCCTAGGACCAAACCCTGCAGCACTCCACTCGAGACTTCCCTCCACGTAGACGCAGAGCCATTTACGAGCACTTGTTGGGTACAATTTTTCAACCAACCATGAATCCATCCAACGGTTGCACCATCCAGCCCACACTTAACCATCTTATCCTCAAGGATATCATGAGAAACTTTGTCAAATGCTTCACTGAAATCTAGATTCACTATGTCCACAGCATTGCCAAAGTCAACCATTTTAGTAACTCTGTCAAAAAAGGAGATAAGGTTGGTCTGGCATGACTTATTCTTGATAAACTCATGCTGGCTACTACCAATTAACTCATTCCATTCAAGGTGCTCACAGACAGAGCGTTTACTAATCTGCTCTAGAATATTTCCCAGGTATTGATGTCATCCCGATAAGCCTGTAATTTCCTGGGTCCGTCTTTTTTCCCTTCTTGGAGATCGGGACAACATTCTCTTTTCTCCAGTCCTCCAGCACAACACCAGGAAATATCAAAGATTAGAGCTAGAGGCTCTGAAATAACATCTGCAATTTCTTTTAGCACCCTGGGATGCAAGCCATCCAGCCCTGGAGATTTGAAAGTATTTAAGGCAGCTAGATGCTCTCTAACGATCACCTTACTTACTCTGAACTGGCAGTTCCTCCTTCCTTCATATACCTGCATTCTTCAGTTTGTATACAGCTCTCCTTACAGTTAAAGACTGACACAAAGTGAGAGTTTAGTAATTCCACTTTGTCTTCATCCCTTGTTAAGGCTTGACCGTCTTCCCCTAGCAATGAGCTTACCACATCCCTGTTTTTCTTTTTGCTCAGAACATAGGCATAGAGACCTTTGTTGTTATTTTTAGCATCCCTTGCAAGCCTCAGCTCCATCTGCGCTTTAGCCTTTCTGGCACCATCCCTACAGATTCAATCCTGCTTCTTATACTCACCCTCAGTAATTTAACCTTCCTTCCATTTCCTGTACATTTCCCTTTTTTAGTCTCAGCTCTTCAGAGAGTTCCTTGTTCAGCCACCTCCACTTCATTACCTGTCTCCCACTTTCTTTCTCACCGGGTCAGTTTGCAATCGTGCCTTAAGCACTTCATTTTCAGCATCTCCCATCCTTTCTGTGCAGATTTCCCCCTCAGCATTTCCAGCCACGGGATCCTACCTAATATTTCTCTGAGTTTTTTGAAATCAGCTTTCCTGAAGTCCAGGATACGAATCCTACTATTTCCTGGTTTCACAGCCTTCTCTATGTCAGATTCCAAGTTAACATGGTCACTATTCCCCAAGGATCCCACAACATTCACTTCATCAACCATTTCTTCCCTGTTAGTCAGGATTAAATCTAGGATAGCAGATCCTCTGGTTCCCACCTCCACCTTCTGAGAGATGAAGTTGTCTCCAAGATTATGCAGGAATCTGCGGGATGCCCCATGTCTAGCAGAGTTAGATTTCTAGCAAATATCTGGATAGTTGGAATCTCCCATAACCACTATCTCCTGTCTCTGTGAAAGTTTAGCAAGCTTTTGTACAAATGCATCATCCAGTTCCTCCGGTTGGTTCAGAGGTCTGTAGTATACCCCCACAACAATATCCCCTTCTTTTTCCCCTCGCTCTATCCTTACCCACACACTTTTAACAGGGCAACTCTCGAAAACCTGAATTTCAGTGCAAGTGTAATCATTCTTGACATATAGTGCCACCCTGCCTGCTTTTTTGTTTATTCTGTTCCATTTGAACAAAGTATATCCTTCAATCACTGTGCTCCATATATGAGACTCATCCCACCAAGTCTCAGTGATACCTATCAGATCATACTTACTTTCCAATATTTGAAGTTCAAGTTCATCCTGTTTATTTCCCGTACTCTGTGCATTAGTATAAAGACATCTCAGTGTACAGACATCCTTTCCTACCATAGGTCCCTTTGAAGTGACCTGAAAATTACTGAACTCACCTCTCTCCCATTCATTTATTCTCTGGTCACTCCCCTTCTTGAACTTAGTGTTGGGGATACCACACAACATCAGGCTTTTTCTTCCCACCCGTGATGGCTTCAGTTTAAAGCCCTCCTGATCAGGTTCACAAG